CTGGCGAGAGAAAAGAATTGGCTTTCTGTAAGAATCGTGAATAACGCAAACCCCGGGAAGAAAATACTACATTTTATAATATCTAAAGTTATCACCGGTGAATAGTCAGCAAGAGGCTGATGCTATTGTGCTAATTCCGAATGCGCTGACAGGTCAAGGCTTAGCCTAGAATGGAATGCGCTGCCGCTTAGTCCCTGACTAAGAAAAACCTTGTTCATAAATCTATCACTGGGTCCTAGCCCAGTACTCTTGTCTCTGTAGGGATATCCGTCCCTTGCTCTGTGGACTAGCTCGCCTTCCTGCCCATATGAGTACAGCCGTAGGAATGTCCCATTAATCAATGTACAAGGACTAGCCTCCGATCAAGCGTCCTCAATCTTCACTCTCCGGATCTCCATGCCAACGCCAGCCACATAAAGCCATAACTGTTCCTCCTCATCCCAACAATGTCCTAGTGAAGAGGCGTCTGCCACGCTTGTGTGTACATCCGAACGCAACCTAAACCTGACTTGATCCGTACCAGCACCCTTCGGAATGGTGATTTCCCAGACCTTTAAATGTTGATCGGTTCCCACACTTGCGAGGAGAAAGACTCCCCTTTCCTGCATTCCGATCGCCACAAGGCAGGCGACACCAGTGACGGCTGTTGCGTGAGCAGGGTTAATGCGCTTTGAGACAAGGCTCGGCGGTCCACCAGAACAACCTTCATCCGGGAATCTCATGTACGTGAGCCATATATCTCCGTCATCGCCGCCTGTTGCAATAATGCTCTCTGTTGGGGAAAAGGGTATGACGTCGAGGGATTTGATACTGTTTTTGTGGACGTCGAGCTGCGTGCACCATTGCAGACTCCGCAGAGGTAAGGAAGTTGAAATGCTAGGGCCCTTCCTGGTGTCGAGCTGTAAAAGAGCTAGGACGCCGTTTGTGCCTGCGGTACATAGGTCGAGCACTTGTTGAAGACCAGAGCGAAGGCTTTTTACCTGAGTGAGGCAGTGTGTTTCGTGAAATCCGGTGAATAACAGGTCGAATTTGTTTTCTAGCCAGGAGGAATAGCAATAGACTCGTACAGACGAATCTGAGTATGCCATAATCAAGAAATAAGCCTTGTTCTCGGCATTCGTAGCCGTACCTGGAGCGATTGGTGTCAGAAGCACCTCAAAATCCATAATTCGGAGATCGGAGGAATCTGTCACAGTCGGACAACGTGCCTCGAGGTACACGCCAAGCCCAATAGATTGGATCGGCGTAACACGCCAGACAAAGAATTCTTCACAGCCGGCAGCACTGAAAAGTCGTTGTCCATCTTCGGACCAGCAGAGCTGCTGGATACCCGTCGTGTGATCCGTCAGGATTCTCAGGCAGTGTAACCTGGGCATTACGTTTGGTGGCTCGTGGCCGAATATACGGATTGCAGTATCCTCCGCCCCAGTGGCAAGGAATCTAGACCTCGGGTCCTCAATTGCTTGAGACGACCGAGACAGAGCCAATGCTTTGACTTCACGCCCATGGCTTCCGCACTGGAGGACACGATGTGAAGCTTCCTCCTGAAAGTAGATGCAGCACAGTGAAGCTTTGGTAAAGACGAAGCTGCCTCCACCCTTTCCATCTTCGTGAGCCACGTAATCCCAGTTTCTGTGAGCATTTCCACACTCTACACTCAATACTTCAGCCTTCTGAGATTCGTTCCATACAACGAATTGGGTGCTGCGGAAGCCCCAAATGAACAGGTGTTGTGTGAAGAAATCAAGGTATGCGCCTTCAATGTAGGGTCCGAAAGGAAGTTTGCAGTTGTTCAAGGTTTTCAATTCAATGACACGGTCGTCATCGCGTTGCTCCATTTGATTGATAGTCAGACTATGTATCTTATATGTCCCATCTCTGCCCGTGGTTGCAAAAATGATCTGGCCGACTTCGCATGCTAGAAAATCGCTCGCAACGACCGTAATCGAGGTGATGGCGTCGTTATGTGGCCGGGCAGTATGGCTACTGCTTGGACGTAGCAACGATCCTGAGCGGTTGTAGACGGCTAGCTGCCCACGGCGCGATCCTAGGATCAGGAGTTGAACCGAAGTTTCGACAAAACATGAGCTTGTAACGACGAAGGAACCCGGGGATTTGTCTTCAAGTTCTCTGATGACGTATGGCCAGCCATCTAAATGTTGAAGCAATATCAGAAAAATCATCGATGATCCCAGACACTTAGCGACCACGCCAACTTCTCGTAATCCCGTCGAGCCGTCCTTTAGGGGGCTAGATCCGTTCGTTTGAGGGTCTAGGGCCTTATCGCTAGTCGATGGGTCAGCCCGTGAGGAATTAGCCCAATTCAACCGCAAGCCTTGGGCTCCAAGATACGTCAGTTTGCCTGGAAGCTGGTGGATAGCCAAGACTTTTTTGATCGAGTGCTGATAGAGACATATCGTGCCTTCTGAGCCAGTGAGCAAGACTATACCCATCGACCGGACACTTGTTGCAATGCACGAGGACTTCAAGCTTGTCTGGTAGCCGACATTGGCCCAGGAAATTAATGGCACCGGATGTGGGCCATTTCTGCTATTGTGGTTGACGGTGCCGACCAAGATGACCCCATGTTCTGTGGAGGCTAGAAACTCAGTTTCACTAAGCCAAGTATATGTCTTGAAAGCGCCAGGCTTGGCTAGTTCCCAGCGTTTCTCCCGTCCGTTGGGGAGTTTGGGGGGTTAATAACCTCAACTCTGGATTCTTTGCTTTCTGAGTCGCCGCACAATTCATCGTTTCGGGTGTAATTGGATACAGCTATGTAATTTTTCCTTGGTCCGCAGACTGTGAACTTTGCAGTCCACTGGTCTATTACCGAAGTAGACTTCATTCGGAAGGTATAATCTACCTTATAATCGTCCGCTTCGCAGGTATGTTGCCCACTTGCTGTTACCTCGAAAGGTTCTGCATTCCGAGAATTTTCCAGGCTTTGAGTGTCCAAATTACCAAGGCCCAGAGTGTGAAAGTCGTAGTCTACAGCCTCGCTACCGTCTGTCTTGACAAAATAGACGGTGACGATGTTTTGGTTCTTGCTATATCGCCATGTATATTGGCGATTAGCTTTGAGCTTGAGGCCTTGAATGGTGGTAAATTCTCCGTTCTCTGAGTATAGGTATTCGGCATCACAGGACTTGTCTGAAGATTTCCTGGGTTCAAAGGCTGCGGTCCCTTCAAAGTCGCCCGCAGGATCAGAAGAAAGGCCGTCTGAGATCGTCCGCGAAAGTTTCCAGTCGCCTTTTAAGGCGTCGAAAATAAGTGCTGCCGAGGCTTGAGGTTGTTTCATGGAGACGGGGGTATCGGAACCGTTGGGGAGGTGCGGATCAGCTGGCAGTCGCGCATAAGCTTCTTCGTTTGTGAACTGACATGATAAGGCTTGAGAGTGCAAGCCTAATGCTTTCATTTTCGGATGATAGGAGGTAATTCGTCCATCAGCCCCGCCAGTAGAGACTAAGCAGCTGTCTGTCGATTCGTTGTGGATTGCTGCAGCCCATATGCTCTTCCCAAAATGATATCTGTATGTTGTTTGATGTCGTAACTCGAATCGTAGAGGACTTGCCTGCAGTGATGACGCTTTTCTGATGGGCTTCGGACACAGTATCCAGGTCTGTGCAGTGGCATCCTCTCCATATGATAGCAACCCCCAAGAGTCGTCCTTGTGATGCAAAAACCGCACACCCCAGATGCGGGACGCATGGGCCATGGTTGTGGCAAGGCATTTGACCGAATCAGCTTTGGAGGTGGTGGCACCGAATCCTGATTCCGAGGTAGGCTGGATCTCCTCTGGCGTTAGTTGATTGTTCGTTTCAGAGATGTCCCATGTTCTGATAGTTCTATCGTCACTACAGCTTGCTAAAACGCGTTGGACGGTGCCAATTTTCGCCTCCTCAGAGATTTGGACACCAAAGACAGATCCCTGATGGCCACGGAAGATGTGATGTGTCGCAGAGGGGTTAATACCGTACTTGAAAGACCACACCACGATCTCTCCGAAGAAAGTCCCTGCGGCGATGAGAACACGGCCAGTGGCGGTTGTGATCATATGCGCAGAGTAAAGCATGGAATATGGACCCGCTGAAGCAGTCTGAACATTATGCGGCGGTTCACCACTTGGGCCTCCATGTATCTTCAACGAGATGAGCTCGTTGTGCGCAGTGACGAGATAGAAATCAGGATTTGTCAAATCGTTGATGGACTCATCAGCATTTTCATGGTAGTAGCAGCCATGTAATATCCTGTCGGGGAGAACCGACTCGGGAACAAGCGTCTTGACATGCACATCGCGAGTCGAGTCGTTCATAAAATGGAGTTCAAGCACAGATATCGATTTGCCGCCCCATAGCAAGACCATAGCAGTGCAGGAAGTTATATTGTGGGATTTTTCTTCAATCGCACAACCAATACCATGGCAAACAATGCCATGGACCGGCTCGGAATGGAAAATGCCGTAAGATAGAACAAGCTCATTTTCGGCATGGTCAAATACCCTCAGAACTTTTCCCTCGCCAGCGAGAATGTAGAGACGATCCAAGTGCAAGAAGGCCAAGGCAGTGATCGGGTTGATGATACTATTGAACTGTCCACGCAGTAAAGTAAGCTACGCTCAAAAAGCTAGATGCGGGAGACTGACCTCCAGGAGGTCAGCCATCCTGTGGCCTCGTTCGCATGCCAGGACTGGTCCTAATCGGTCATCCGCCTGTTGGTAGAGAACGCAGTAGACCAGACTCTGGTCCACTTAGTCATTGATAGACTGCAGGCATCAATCCGGCCGAATCGAAAGCCGTTGCATTGTTGATGGTTCTCATGGTTGAGTTGGCAGACAAAAGAAGTGAGCGGAGGCAAATTTTCTCGAGAAGTCACCCAAGCGAGAGAGCCGCTCCTCCTCGCCTAGGAATGGCAACCACTAACAACCATCTCTCCTCCTCAGTTCCATCAAAAAGGTAGGAGCAATGGAGATGGCAAGCTCAATAGGCAAAATGGCAAAAATTTGACCGTTGCATGGCTCGAACATGCGACCTTCTCCGCCAGCAGGTTAGACTGTAAAGGAGACATAATAACCACTATACTAAACGGCCTTTTTGGACTTTTAGTTGGCCAACAGATATAGAGTTTTTGCTATTTACTAATATATTATTCAATCCAATTGCCTCTGTCTGCATGAGAAAATGACCGATTTAGTAGAAATAGCGTGGACGAAGCTATTCTTGTCTACTACAGTGTGGAAAGTTCATCTCAACCTTTGCTCATTACTGATTTTTTCTGTATACGAAGCTAAATGCTACAAGCGGGTATCTAATGCCAGGAAGTACTCGCTAAATTGCAAGCTCAATGCACAGTAGGTAGAGTAAGACAACCACCACGCTCATAATGCACACCTCAGAAGCTCCATGCCACATCATGCTATAGCTATATCACATCACAACTTCCAGCCCAAGATGTCGACCTTCTTCATCTGCACCTCCAGATCTCCTCCTCCTCGCCCCTTCTCACCGCAATCTGCCGACTTGGCGAAGCTGTTGCCTTTTCCCTCTTGGATTGCAGTGTGGGCTCTAGCAAAGGTCTTGAAAGGAGTGTCATTATCTCGCCACCAATCATCGGGCCCGCTCGTGTCTCGAAGCACCTCTGCTGCATTAGCCTGAGGCACAGAGAGAGGTTTTGATATTGCCATACTCGAGTTATCACCAGCACGAGACTTTCTGCTCTGACCTCCAGCCGCCGTCGCCTTCCGTCGCAGGACAGCTTCTCTAACAGCCTCAAAATCCGCATCCGTCAATGTCGATGGAGCGCCTCCTCCCAATACGCGCTTTGAACGTGAAAGTATCTGCTTCTCGATCAGACGTCTTCCTTCAGCAAGATCCACATTTTCCGCGATGTCCTTCATCAAATGCAATTGCCTTTGGCTGATCTTGTCAAAGTAATGGGACGCTAACACATCGTGCGCCCCGACCCCCCAAGCCGATCTGATGCTTGCTACGCAGGAATCTGGTGAGTCATTTCTATCTTCGATGCTCTTGGCTGTAGGCTTGTACACATTGCTGCGGGAACCTCCAGGGGTCTCGATGAAGTCTTTGAGCCGAGAATGTTGCTTTGAACCTGGGGAGCCTTGAGTGACACTGGTTTTAGGCGGCGGGACATGATCACTCCATGGAAGAGAACGCCGGCTAGTTGGCTTCTTGCTGGTTGGCAAGCCTTTGAGAGTTGTCTCTATCAAGTTCGCATGACGAGCTCTCCGGTCTTCTCCCGTAAGGTCGATGACTGGTGCCTGTTCGCTGGAACCGGTAGACTTCGAGGACAATTTTGATTGATCTAGCTGGGCACGAGCTCTGTCACCGCCCTTGACTTTGCCATGTCCCTTGTTTTCTGATTCTTTCTTGGATACATGAGCTGTCGTGGGAATGAGAGATAGAACCTCCTCCAAATTTCGACTGGTAATCACGCGACTGTTGTATTGCGGCTCATCAATCTCAGTACGGTAGAATTCTTCGAAAGGGAGTGCATCTTCAGCCTCTTCAGCACATCGATTGAGATACTGGGCGTATTCAACCTTATGTCTGATGATGAAGTCATCCCACAGAGATTGGTGCTCCATTTGACTCGCTTTCACAAGGTTGCTGATCTTCCTGCATATAGCGACAAAATGCTTTATGCTTCCAGGATACTTAGGGTAAGCTGCCTTGAACTTGTCATAGATGTTCGCAGGTGCTGTAGATGACACGCCCTCGATGGCTGTTGCTGACTTGGGCGTCATTGGCTGTATATTCTTCTCTGCGTCCGGCATAGGAATGTCCATTGACGTAGTTCGGCTGATAAGCGGAGAAGGTTGAACTTGGTCGTTGGATGTAGGGTTAGAAGTTGGCGATGCATGTTCATTTTTCACGGAGGGAGATCGGTACATCGGCTGATACTCTACCGGTACCGGCTGCGGTGAAATAGTATTCGCCTGGAGATCCGGTTCAGTGGAAGTCCGAAGGTCTCTCATGGAAGATTTCTTATCCTTTTCCATCAACGGGAGATCCTGAGCGTTGGGCTCTCGTTCACTTCTATCATCTTCGGAAGACTGCGGTATCGGTAAGCCCGGAGATTCTACTCTCTCGTTGTCGTGTAGTGGCGGCATGTCTCGTGTCGCCTCAACGTGCTCTATAGATGGTACTTCTACCATACTAACACCAGAGACTTGAAATGTGGACTCCCGCTCCTGAGCACCGGCTTTGGCATCTTCGGCGTTAAACCCAACGCCAGTAAAGAGGTCTTGAACTATAGGCGGCGAAGCCTGGATATCAATATCCATTTGCTGGGGCTCCTGCGTTGCCTGCTTCATTGAACACATCTCGATATCCAGTGTTGAGTCCTTATCCGCACCAGACATTGGCACATCAAGGTCAACAGCTGTCTGCTGGCCGGGATCATCTGCAGTGTTGAGCTTATCCGAGGCATTGGTGTCTGCATTCGTCATCTCGACGCCGATTATGGGTTTTTTGATGGATGTGTACATGCCATTGATACGGCCCACAAGATGCATTGTGGGGCTCTGCATGGGTGTACTGCTTTCGCTGCTCCTCCGGGACGCTAAGAATTCTTGACGTATTTGTCGAGCTCCTTCTGATGGATCTCGCGGATACTCAAGCTCTTCAGTGAAGTCAAAAGTGGCAGGAAGCTTGAGCCTCTTCTGTCGTTTAGAAATATTGGGAGACAGGAAACTCGCATCTGGGTTTTTCCGCTGTCCATCTGTAATTACATGAGAAGTGTCAATTGTCCCATTTTCCGTCCCATGAGGATTATTCGGTGCCTTGAAACCCAAGTTTCGAGGTTGAGAACCTGTGTCGTCTGCGTTGTCGACGGCAATGCCTTGCTCGTCTGGCAGATTTTGGCCCTCGTCACCCATGGGCTGCTCACTCAGGTCGACTTGCATTGCTCCATTTAACGCGTCACCCTCAGTATCTGCATCGCTTTTATTGGCTTCTAGGGTTTGAGGATCAGTAGATGTTCTATTTGTCTTGTCACGACGAGTCTCAACACTGGCCGTCTCCAGAGTCGAAGGCACAGATAGAGTCACATGACTGGTGCTATCTGGCAGACTGCCATTCGGTTGGTTATGTGTATCCGATTTTGATGGTGAAGCTTGAAGGTCCAGACCTTTTTGGACATTCAGATATGGGGTTCGTTTTACTTGTGTAAAAGGCAATTCAGGCTGCGAAGTGGTAGATGGAAATGGTTTTCTTGGTGCAGCATTCGCATATAGCTCTTTGTTCCCATTCAGAGGTTGTGGTGCTATCACCTCCAAGTCCGAGTCAGGCGAAACAGCTCTTGAATTAGTGGATGGTGGTAACTGTCTTGGGCCGTCGATTCCATTCCCAAGACTTTTGAGCTGACCTTCGCTGGTGTTAGCATTGAGGTCGCCGTTGTGTGACTCGATGATTCTCTGATTGGACGATCTTGGTGTTGAGAGTCGGGACGAAAGAGGTTTTGAAGTGTCACTCTGACTATCAGGTGTCCCCGGCCTCCTGTCTTTATGGTAATGTCGGAGGTGATAATTGAGACCACTTAAATTCGAGTAAGATTTACGGCAATCTTTAATGTTGCACTTGAAGCTTTGAGCTGATCCTCCATCATTGTGGCGAAATTCGACATGATATTTCAAAGCTGCAGCATTATCGTATGTCTTCTCGCAGGCGATTGCTCGACAAGTGAAGCCCCGGATTTCTTCGCCAGCCGAGTTGGAAACGATGCTGGGAGACGGCTCAGCCAGATTCCCCGGCGACCTTAGCGCTGACATAGGACTTGGCGGCGTCGAAAGAATAGGACTCGATGCCACCGGTGTTTTCGATAATATGTGAGTGAGTTTTTCTGGAGTAAATGTTGCTGTCGCCTTTGTTTTAGAGTGATCGGAATGGTCTGCACTCGCTAAGTTACTGTCTAGCGGCAGTTGATTGCGATCAGGCGTCAGCGGCCATTGTCCTGAGGATACTGGGACATCAGAATCTGATTCATGAGTGCTACCACTTTGAGTACTGTGTGCAGAATCTCTTGCAGCGACGGCTGCTTCACTAGGACCATTCACTCCACGTTTACGCTTGAGTGAATTGGACGCTCGTAGTGCACGAAGATCAGCATCTCGATTCACTGATTGTAGAATGGAAATCGGTATATTTGCTACTGGGTCTCGATGACCAGGCTGTGCCGGTAGCCAAGCTAGATAAGTCGTTAGCCTTTAAGTAGTACATTCGTCACTTTCAACTCACAGCTGTCGCTGTCCAATAGAGCTTCTTGGTCCTTCGGAATTCTCACATCTCTGCTGCTGATCCGCTTGCGTGCAGAATTTTGATCCAGGTGCTGGGCCGGGACGGTCTGTATTGAGCCGCTATTGACGGTAGGCTCGCCTAGAGTGGTAGTATTTTTGTTAGCAGTTGCTTCCACTACGGGCTGCACAGGAAGGCTGGTAGAAGAGTTGAGAGGCGGTGTAAGTTGTTCAGTGCTCCTGCCCTCTGCATCCGTCGTCACCTTACCCTTGGGGTTCGGGACAGCCGCTGGAACTTCAGCTGAGTCGTTCAAGACTGGCTTGAGATTTGGCGCCTTTTTGGCCTTATTAAGCAGCTCTAAGAGAGCTTCACTGGAGATGGCTGGACCCCTTTTTCCATTTGGAATTGGTGTTCTAAAAACGCCTGGTGCCGCCATAACTCGAGCAGAACCCGACAACGGCTTCTCGGGGCCTCTAGTCTTGCCAATACCACTATCAAGTTTAGATAATGGTTCGGGGAATTTAGTAGTATATCTCATAGAACCCAAGCCCACGTTGATTCCGGTGCCAAAGTTGTCTGGTTTAGAGATGCGAGCACCTGGTGCATTGGAGAGGGGAGCTTGAGTTGCAAACACGGCTTGACTAGCCGAAGGAGAATCGTCCAGAGAAGAACCGTTACTAAGTTGAGACCTAAGGGAAGGATTGGGAGACGCATGGCCGCTGAGTGACTCTGTCTTTCGCAAAATCGTGAGCTTCTCAATATGTGTCTTGACCACCACTCGACTCTCAATGCCATGAGGTGTCGCTAATCCATAGTGACCCGACCCATTCGAACCAACA